TCTGTTGCCATGGTTACCCGCCGCGCTCGGCTCGGTCCGCGGCGCTGCGTTCCCGCGCTGCAGGCTGCAACAGTCGCCGCGGGCGGCAGAGCCTGGAGCTGGGTGCAGACGAGGAACGGCCGCGGGCACCCGGCGCACAGTGCACATCCCCTCTAACGCACACCGACCGGTCCCTCCACGCCCACCACAGGCACACGGTGTAACACAAACGCCGCACACATGCAGGCAGACGACACAGCACACACGGTGCACACCCGCATACACACTGCATCCCAGCCCACACTCCTTATCTCTCTCTCTCACACACGCACACACACGGACCCCACGCCTGAGAAGTGCCCTTGGAACATGCCCCTGGGGGTTGGCTGGCGCAGGGGACTCCAAAGCAAAATCACAAGCCATCAGACAGGAGCTGCCCCTGACCTCTGTGACTCCTTTGCCTTGTGTACTGCCTGGGTCACCCCAGGGACCCGTGGTCTCAGCCACAGCAGTGGGCCCTAGCCCTCATTAGTGACAGGAGTTCAGCGCCACCACCGCAGAGTCCCCGTCCCTCACTCATCCCTGACACTCTTGCTGGCAATCTCCCAGGGGATCCTTACCCCAAGAGCCTGGCGCTAGTGTAGCCATTGAGCCCTTGGCCCCAGACCCAGGGTGTCCCCAAACTTTGGACACACCAGTGAGGAGCTGGGCCCAGGGAATCACAGACCTCCAGGCGCCTCTGGAGGACACCCCCTGTTTCACTGCTGTGACTGAAAGACCCCACCAGAACAAATGTAGAGGAGGAAAGGTGTATTTAGGGGCTCACAGTTCAGAGGTCTTAGTCCATAGAAGGGCAGCTGCATTCCTGGGGGCTGGAGGTGAGGCAGGACTCTGGTGGAAGAGTATGGGGGAGGGAAGCAGCTCACGTGGGGATCAGGCTGCAGAGATGAAGGCTCCAGTCTCCAGATACAGAATATCTACCCCATGGCCATCCCCAAAATGAACCACTTCCTCCAGCCACACCATACCTGCCTCCACTTAGTTAATCCCACCAGGGGTCACTCCGGTGATTACGTTAAGGCTATGACCCAATCATTTCTCCTCCTTGGTTGTCTCACACGTGAGCTTTTGGGGCACACCCCACATCCCATCCATAACACCCCCATCCCACGTGGCTGCTGGAGGGGCACCTGGGGAACAAGAAGCTGAGTCCTGGCTCCCAGCAGGAGAACACATGGGGCCAAGGGTTCTGTGGTGGTTTGAGTGAAGGATCATTTTATGGCTTTGGGCTTCAATCTCCAGAGTCCAAAAAGCAGAGTGACACAGCTCTAACAAAACTATTCACCACGGTGCGTGAACTTATGTAAGCCAGTTTGCCATCGTCTACACCAATAAATGAAAAAACAGGGATGGAACTGGTTCTGACACTGATACTTATCCAAGGACACCTGGGCCATTTGAAAATCACACACACACCCGTCCCTCTCACTAGGAAGTAGAGCCCTGCAAAAATTTAACTTATTTCATATATAATAAACTTCTGCCACAACTTTAACGTATCTATGCTGGTTTCATCAGTCACTCTATCCAAAACAGATTTGCTAAACACTGAAACAAAAGCATTTTAAATTTAAATTACATGCATGTTCCTATGGCAGAGACTCTGGGTGGTCAGTGAATTCTCTCCAAGCATAAAACGTTTCTATTAGTCAAGTTCAGTGGAAGAAATGGACCGAGCCAGAGGTGAAGAGGAAGGGGGCAGGAACTTGCCCTTGAACCCTTGTTGTGGGCACCACTGTCACCCCATCTGCATCTCACTGGGCCCCATGTGTTCTCCCCACTGCTTCCCCCACCCCACCCCCGTGAAGGAATTCCCCAAGGAAAGCCTGAGGCAGGTACACTCGAGGAACATTTTCTTGCAAAGAGTAGAGGAGGCAGACCTTAGGGCTGATGAGCAGTTTAAAATAGTTTAAAAAACCAACAAGTGTTCAAAGGGAAAACAACATGAGAACCCAGAATACCAATTCCCACCACCCGTCCCGAGGGGCCAGCAGCAGCCTTCCCAGATCCTGCTAACCCTGGGCCAGAGCCCAGGATGGTAAAACAAAGGTCAGAGCCAAGACCGCACAGGACAGAGCTCAGGTCCTGTGACAGGAGGTCCCCAAGACCTCTTATCTGGGAGCTCTGATTTTTGGTGTATCTAGGGGTGCAAAGTAGGTTCCTTTTTTTTGGCTTTTCACTGAGGACTGTGACTGGCTCGATGACAGGGAAGCAGGAAAAGAGGGTGGGCTTTGCGTCTATAAAGTAAGGATCGGTTTTATTTTTAAAATGTCAAAATTGGCAATACCCAGAAAATTAGATACTCTGAGTCCTTAGTGGTGAAAAAAAAATACATATCAACCTTAAACAGTGCCAAAGGGGCTCAGTGTTTTCAAAACTCTTTCAGGGGCCTTGTAGGTCATTTACCCGGCCAGCTAGGACAGATGAAGAAACAGAGGCCCAGAGGAGGAGAGTGGTTTGTCCACCATGGCATACTTGGTAATAGCAAGGTCAGAAACCCCAGGAAAAGGTACTTGACATCACTAGTCACTAGGGAAAGGCAGATGGATACCAGCATGAGATGCCACTTCAGGCTCACTTGGATGCCTATAATTTTTTAAAATATTTTTTTAGTTGTAGATGGGCCCAATACCCTTATTTGCTTTTATGTGGTGCTGAGAATCAAACCCAGTGCCCCACAGGTGCAAGGTGCACACTCTACCACTGAGCCACAACCCCAGCCCCAGCCTGTAACTTGTTTAAAAAGAAAAGCGCCAGCGCTGACCAGGATGTGGCAGGTTTGGGGGAACGTGCAGTGGTGTAGCTGCTGCGGAAAACAGTTTGCCGTCTTCTCAGTAAGTGAAACCCCAAAGAATTAAAAGCAGTGCTCAAACAAAAACTGGTGTGTGCACGCTCATGCCACACTATTTTCAACAGCCCAAAGCAGAGCCACCCACTGTCGTCAACAGAGGCCTGGATCAATAAACGTGCTCCACCCCCACAGGGGGGCCCACTCAGCCGGGAGGGGAGGAGGACTAGTCCTGCCCTGCACCAGGGCACAGCATGGAGGAGCCCGAAGAGCACAGTGCTGACACCAAAGGCCACACGTCAGACTCCACTCACCCCAAACAGAAGGCAGAGGCAGAAAGCAGATTGGCGGCTGCCAAAGCCCAGGGACAGGGAGTGACTGCCTAATGGCCTAATTTTCTCTAAGCACAGACACCTGGTGATGGTGGCAGAATATTCTGGATGTATTACATGCCACTGCACTGTACATTTTAAAATATCTAAAATGGTAAATTTTATGTCCTGTGAATTTTACCACTAGTGAAATATATATATATATCCATATAAAAGCAGGGAGGCTGGCTAGTGACCATGTCTCAGGTCATGAAATCCCCACTGCAGGACAGGGTCTGCTATCCCAGGACCCCTATACCCTCCACCCATCTTATTTATTTTCTTTCTTTTTTTTTTTTTTTTTTGAGACAGGGTCTCACTAAGTTGCTGAGACTGGCCTCAAGCTTACCTTCCTCTCTTAGCCTCCCGTGTTGCTGGGATTACCGGTGTGCAGCACCTCACAAAGCTAAGAACAAATACACCCACAAGAAGCCCCTCTGGAGCCAGGCACAGTGGTTCGCACCTGCAATCCCAAAAACTCAGGAGGCTGAGACAGGAGGATCTCGAGTCCAAAGCCAGCCTCAGCAACAGTGAGGCACTAAGCCACTCAGTGAGACCCTGTCTCTAAATAAAATACCAAATAGGGCTGAGGATGTGCCTCAGTGGTCGAGTGCCCCTGAGTTCAATCCCCAGTACCAAAAAAAAAAAAAAAGGAAGGGAAACCCCTCTGGGGGCCCAGCATCATAAACAAAAACTTTAGCTGAACAAGTATTGGAGGGGAGTCACAGGTAGGCATAAATATTTGGTCCTGACATGGGGACAGACCAGGTATTGCCCAAGGTCCGCCACTCCTTCCAGGCTGCACACCCTGCAGGGGACCTGCCCAGAAAGACTGCAACTCCAACACTGCTCTTGGTCACTGCTCTTGGTCACTGGCTTCTTCTCATGGCTTCCCTCTGTCCGCCGGGCACTGGGGATCCACCCTGCAGCCTCGTGCACACTAGGCAAGCTCTCTACCACTGAGCCTCACCCCAGCCCTTCCGTGGTACTCCTAAGAATTTGTGCTCCTGTTTATGTCATTTGCGAAAGAAATTGGCTCTTCTGTGAAACTCGAGTGAGTCCCTTCTATAAAGACATTCGGATGCCCAGAGAAGCAGCATAGGAAAAGATCCTCATCCTTTCCAGAGGACCACAAATTCCAACAACAAAGAGATGCGATTTGGACCTAGCAACTGCTTTTAAAAGTAAGACTCCCAGAAAGGCCTGGCCACAGCTCACCCAGGATGACGGCCATTAATCATCGTCGCCCACTTTGCTCTTTCTTTGTTATTAATGGGCTCCATCCCCAGCTTTGCCGTTGGTTATGAGACCCTGGGCAGATTACCACACCCTCCGTGAGCAGCTTCCTCCTGGCTAACGTGGGGCGGGCATGCACGTGTGACCACTGCAGTCAGGGAGGACAAGGCCTCTGCTATTACATCACTGCCCTGTTTCCTGACCACAAAGGCCAAGGAGCCAAAAGAAAAGAGTCGGACGCTGCGTGCCGTCTGCGTGTGCTCCCGCTGCCCAGCAAACTGCACAGTCACAGCTAATAGAAGCGTGTTCCTCAAAGTCTGGAGACCAGGACGCCCAGGCCCAAGGCACAGCACATGGGGTGTCTGGTGCAGGTTGCCCCCTGCTTCCAAGAAGGTCCCCTAGAGGGGACAGATGCTGCATCCCCACCTGGTAGGCAGGGGGACAAAGAGGGGTGAGCTCACTCCCTGGAGCCCTCAGGCCACGGTCAGGGGAGGCGCTCCTGGCCCAGGCGGCCCAGTCACTCCTCGGCCTCCCTCTTAGTGGCCTTGCTCCCAGGCTGTCTCAACATGGGGGCCACCAACATTCACCCACAGCAGGCGCCGGCTGTGCGGGAGCTCATGGGACCACGCCACCTTTCACCCTCAGACCCACCTGCTCCTGCTCTGATGGGTCCTCATGGCAGCCGCACCAAAGCAGCACACACTGGGCAGCTCTAAACACCCGCACCGGGGGTCTCGGGGGGTCTCAGGGGTCTCGGGGGTCTCGGGACGTGCAGGCCAGAAGCCAATCCAGACAGGCTGTGCTTTCCCAAGGCACCAGAGGAGCAGCAAGTGACCTTGCGCCTCCAGCCTCCCGGGGACGAACTGTGCTCCCTGTTTCCAAGTTCAATGTGCAGAAGATACCGGCTCTATTTCCGTTCTTGATAGACACAGGTAATGTAAATATTTGGGTTTTTTTTTTTTTAAAACCATAGCTCTAAGTAACAGACCGCTGACCTCCGGTCTTCACGTCTGGATGACAACAGGGCGGGGTGGAGTCTGCATCAGGAACAGGAGGTCTCCATTCCCGATGAAGCAGCTGGTCCTCATGTGTCAGAGTGGCCAGATGTGGCCAGATGTGGCTCAGTCTCCCTGTTTCCATGAGAAGCGGGAACTGGGGTTTTCACAGGGATGAAATCTCCCTGTTTCAGAATGTCAGCGACTAACTCGGTACATTTTAGGTCTCTGTACACCACGTTCACAGCAGAATTGTTCCCAAGGCCCAAGGGATGGAAGCACCCCACACAGCAGGTGAATGGATAAGCCCCCAAAATGGAACAGCCATCGGTCTTTCAACCTTAGAAACAAAGGACGTTCAGGTGCCTGCTAGGACAGGGTGATCCCCAGGACACTGGGCCAAGTGAGGCAAATCCTGCGAGAGCCTCTTAGCCAACGTCACAGAGACAGAAAGCAGGCTTTCCAGGGCCGGGCACAGTTAGGGAAGATGACTGAGTTCCAGAGGTGGATGGTGGTGACCACTGCACAATAGTGTAAAGGTACTCAGGGCCACCAACTTCACTTACAAATGACGGAAAGGGTACACGTCCTATGTCTGTCCCACAAGCCAAAGAGAAAACCTGCCTGGAGTCTGCACGGGCCACTGTGAAGCCAAGTACACCACTGGATGACCTCTGTGGGGAGGCCCACTCCTCTAGGACCAGGACCCTGCCCTGGTCTCACTCTAAGGCAGGCAGGGAGCTCGCACAGGGCCTGGCTCCCAGCCATGCTCCATTCTGGTTGGTTTAACAAATGTCATTTGATGTCTTGGTTTTTTTAATGCAATGAGTATCATGTACACAGACGCAGGGGATTGTCTATGGAGAGGGCGGTGTGAGAGTGCACACACCCACACTGTTCCACGCGCAGGAAGCGGGATGGGGTGGGGTGTGCCCGGGAGCATGGTCCTGGGCTTGGCTCTGCTGAGCAGCCCAGAGTTCAGGCTGCAGCCATCCTGTGTCCAATCGCTCCGTCACCATGACACTCCACAGTGAGTGAGAGGGTGCTGCGGGACCCACGAAGCCCGAGGGATCATTGGAAGGATGTGAGAAGGCACCACGCGCCATCTCAAAGCGGCCCTGGGGACAAAGGCGACAGCATTTCAGGTTGACATTGCAAAGCCACCTCACAGCAGATGGCAGAAGCCTCGCTGTGCAGGAGAAAGGACTCCAGTGGCCGGGCAGGGCCAGTCCTACAGGCCATCACCCCTCCCCTTCCCCCTCCTCTGCCCAGCCCTCCCCTCCTTCCAAATTGACGCCCCTTCCACCAGCTGTCTGGGAAGAGCCACTGCCCGACAGACCACGCCCCCAGCTCCCTCTCCACCCTCAGCCTGGTGGGTCCTCACGCATTCTGTCAGCCCCCAACGCCATCACCACCATGTGCCACTGCGTTCCAGGAGCTTCCGAAGGTGAGGGGGACACTCACAGAGGCTGCAGCTCAGGCAACTGAAGTCACCCCAGACTTCAGGGCTGGGTGAGGAAGGACCCCAGGTAGGACCTAGGCTGGGAGGGAAAGTGTGCTCCCGTCGGGTCAGTGCAGTGGACACAGGGCAGCGAGGTGGGGACGCCTTGGCACCCTTCAGTTCTGAGTTTATCTTCTTCTAAAGCATTTACTAAAATCGGGTGGAAACCTCTGATTTTGGCTTATTGCATCACTGAGGCATGCGAACAAAGGGACTGTGTGGGGGCATTGCTGAGGCTTGGAATGCTATTGGTAGACTCCCCCGTGTCTTAAAATCATGTCCTTCCCACGCCTCCAAATACGTGGCCCTGGTTTCCTCAACCTGCGCGAGTGCTCAGGCAAAGGATGCAGATGAAACATCGTCCAGAGAGGAGCACAAATGCCATGGATCCAAGAGAAGACCTTAGCCCCTCGCAATTAAGCCACACAGATCGGAGTGAGAGGTGGTTTTCATTCTGTAGCATCAGTTTTTAAATTGGATAAAAGCTAGTGTTGGCAAGAAGGGGAGATTAAAGCAGGCACTCTTGCCCAGCTGTGGCGGGCATGGGTGTGGCAAGAGGTCTGGAAGGGCCTTTGGCTTCATCTATCAAAATTTCATATGTCCCTTAACCCATAAATGTCACATCTAGAACAACTGCGATTTCCCATGAGTTGGCAAAGGTTCTTCCCAGGAGGTCTGGGTAGCAGCATCGTGGGACCATCTAATACAACAGTCCCAGGAGTGAATCTGTAGCAGAGACTTTCAGGGGAACACTACTGTGTTTGGGGGAAAAAAAAAACAAACACCTGATTTCTGTGAATCTCAGAATCTCACAGACTAATGCTGAGATAAGCCAGACAGAAAAGAGATGCCGCCAGATTCCATTTAGGTGACATTCTGAAACGAGCCAACAAGCCACCGTGCCAGGACCAGAGCAGAGGCAGCTTCCTAAGGGCTCCCAGACATTCTCCAGGACTCGGTCAGACGGTGGCGAAACACACGTAGGTGAGAACACATGCACTACTTCCTCAAGACCTGAGCGCTTTCCATGAGTTACATCCAACTTCACAAACTATTTTCACTGTAAGCATATGTTACTTTTAAGTATGTATGGAAAACACGATATATTTTAAAAGTCAAAAACACAAGTTATAAATATAGTTTTACCATGAATCTATACGACTTTGATACATATGGAAAACAATACATGAGTGTATTTGGAATATCTGCTGCATAAATGTATCAAACAGCATGAGCCCACGTGGAAATCTCCATAGACGTGGAAATCACACTACACAAGGAAGTCACAAGGCAAGACCCTTGAAATCAGGGGCTCCCCTCCACAAGCCCACTGGTCATTCTCATGGTGGCTGGCCTCTGGAAGTGCCCATGCCCCTCCCAGGCCGTCCCCTCCTCTGCCTGGCCCCCTTCCTGGCCCTCGGCCACCAGATTCAGGGCAGGAGGCTCTCTGTACACTTTCATTTGGGAACTGTGAGGTGAAAAGGAACCCTTGCTTGTATTGCCCAAGCGCCACCTAGGAACGGGCCCACGCTTTGTGGGGACTGTCTGGCTGCACCAGCTTGCATGGCCAGAGGAGAGGGGAGATCCTGGGCAACTTCTACTCCCTGGTCAGCAGAGGCCTCCTGAGAATGACCTCAGTAGAAAGGGCAAGAGAGCCTGGGCCAATCCAGGTAAACTGGGGGGGACAAAATGTCCCTTCCAGCTGCTGACCTCCAAGTTGCAAAGTCAGTGTCCGAGGGCCTCAGACACTCTCTGGGCCAGCACTGCACCCCATGGGCAGCAGAGCCAATGGCCAGGCAGGCCCGTGGCTGGACAAGAGGCAGAGTGCTTCCCTCCTTGAGGACTGCCTCAGCATCTAGAGAGTCGGGGGAGGGGATCTGTTGATTTGATCCAGTTGGAAGTGGGGACTCAGAGGGCAAAGCAACCACACACTCCGCTGGCACAGGCAGCTCACTCCCAGGTGTCCTGGGCTCCGCTGCCATCTAGATGTGACAGTGGCTTCCCTAAACAAAACCCGCTGCAACCGCACAAGCCAGCTAGCGGCCTCCACCTCTCCACCAAGGCCCAGAGCTCACCAGCAGAAAAGCTGCTGTCCACCCTGTCCTGAGCAGGTCTCCATGGAAGCCAGTCTCTGAATGTCCCAGTTCCATCACTGGGGCCTGATCATTGCTAGCAGCTGGTTTTTGATGGAGATCTCACTCAAACCAGTGCCTGGGCCTTGTCAGGCTAGGGAGGGCCCCAACACACAGGTCACTGGAGGCGGAAGCCCTGCCCGGCACCTGCGGGCATCAGCAGCATCCAGCACCACGCCTGAGCAAACCCACCCACGGGGGCCATTGGGGGACAGGAGCCGGTGGGCACCTAAGTCCAGAATGACAGATGGCAGCAGAAGAGAGGAAGTGGGGGTGGCGGGAGCCCACACGGGGAGATCAAGAGATGACAGAAACCTGAACTTTCATGTGAATATCCCACTTTTAAACTATTTCCATTGAGAAAAGACACGTGCACTTTGGGGGAAGAGGGTCACATCAGAACCCCAAGCACTACCACCTCACACCCAGGATGGTGAGCACTGAGAGGCAGACGAATGGGACCCTGGCGCTCAGCAGCCAGGGAGAAGACGCACTATTCACAGTAGTTACAAAATGGATAAAATGTGCTTCATCCATGCAACAAAATAGCATCCAGCCACTCACCGGAAGTAAGGACTGGCCTGAGCTACAACACAGCAACCCTGAAAATGCCCAGTCAGTGCAAGACGCCGACACAAGAGGTCAGGCATTGTGTGGCTCCAGGATAGGTAGGTCCAGACACAAAAGTGGGCTGGTGTCCAGGGAGTGTGGACTGACTGCTAATAGATACAGGGATTCTTTGGGTTTTAGCAGAAACGTTCTCAAATTGATGGTGATGCGATGGCACAGCCTTAGGAATATGCTCAAACCACAGAGGCCCACGTTCAGAGATGGAGAATTCTATATTAGTGAATTATATTCTTTAAAATTGTGCCAGAAAATAGGAGGATATGTGCCAGGCATAGAGGTGATGTAACCCCAGCTATTCTGGAGGCTGAGGCAGGAGGATCACAAGCTCGAGGTCAAATATGGGCAACTTAGCAAGGTCCTGGCTCAAAATGAAAAAAAAAAAAAAAATTGGCCAGGTGCAGTGGCACATGCCTGTCATCCCAGTGGCTCTGGAGGCTGAGTCAGAAACAGCGCAAGTTCAAAGCCAGCCTCAGCAAAAGCACATCGCTAAGCAACTCAGGGAGGCCCTGTCTCTAAATAAAGTACACTAAAGGGCTGGGATGTGGCTCAGTGGTTAAGCACCCTGGGTTCAATCCCTGGCACAAGAAAGGAAGGAAGGAAGAGAGGGAGGAGGGGAGGTGGGAGGGGCGGGAGGGAGGGAGGAAGAGAACCTGCAGATACTTTTGTAGGTAAATATGTCCAACAGCGCATTGTTTATACATTGTTGACGTAACTGGAAACCAGACGAGCAGAGAGGTAGATCCCAGTCAGAGGGCGGGAGGAGTGTGGCTCCTCGCCCCTCTTGTATCATGGACAAGTGTGATGGGCAGGAAGAGGGTCTCCAAGATGTCGCCATCCTAACTCTGAGCCTGTGAGGACGTCGCCTGGAGGGCAGAGGGAGCAGGCGGGAGTGTTCAGATTCAGGACGTCCAGGAGGAGCTGGTGCTGGGCCGTCGGTGGCTGGGCCATCACAGGTCCTTGCAAGAGGGAAGCAGGCCGTGTCCCTCTGGAGGGCCGCCCTCTCCCATGAGTGTGGATTTCTTGCTTCTCCCTGATCGCACAGCTGCTTTCCTGAATAACCCTGCCGGGTCCTCCAGGGTGGTCAGAGTCAGAGACATGAGAAAGCAAGCCGCCTCAGAGGGACACCATGGCTGGCTATGAAGATGAAGACAGGGGCCGTGGGCCGTGGCAAGGGAATTTAAGAAGCTGGAAAAGTGTGGGGAACAGAGCAGGGGGGCCCACACCTGACATTAGCCGGGGAGGCTGTGTCCGTATTTAACCTCCTTAGGTTTCATTTCTGAAATCCAAGTGAGAACTTCACCTGATTCTTGGATTGATATAGAGCAAGTATGAAACGAGGCTGTGACCAAACACCTGAAGCGAACAACTTGACGGAGGCTCCTGGTTTCAGTCCAAGGCCAGCCGGCCCGGCGCTCTGGGCCTCCAGAGAGGCAGAAGGCTGCTCGGCCCACGCCAGCCAGGAGACAGGGAGAGGAAGAGACGGGACAAGGTACAGCTCCCCAGGGTAGGCCCCCCAGGGTCCACTCCCTCCAGCCCCAGGCACCTGTCACTGGACTAATCCACTGGTGAGGTCAGGCCCACCTCTGGGCACCGCTGCAGTGGGGACCAAGCCTGCAGCACAGGATCCTCCTCGGGACATTCCAGATCCAGCCAAAACAGAAAATGTCTTTGTAAAGCGGCCGCCACAGACCCCAGTGCATAACCAGAGCCTAATGACTGTACCCAGCACCCGTGGCCTCGTCACTGGAAGTCAGGTCACAAGGAGCTTCGTTTCATGGGGACGTGCTCAGGACGAGACGTGGGTGAAGGAAGGATAAGGATCACCTCGGGGAGCATCTGTGTGAAAGGGCCAGGGAGGAAAACTGCACAAAAATGTGTCCTGCCGCGGTGACCTTTGCCCCGCGTGGTTTTCAGGAATTCGCAAGGGAAATTTTATTGTGAGGATGTATTCTTACAATCAGGAAGACTGCGTGCTTTTCAGGTGAACCCCACCGCCCCTCCCTGCTGTCCAGGTCCCTCCAGATGGCTTCTGGGGCACACTGACCCCAAGGCCAAGCCCGCAGGGGCCTCGCCACAGCGCCTCCCCGCAAGCTGTGAGCCTCTGAATCCAGCCTCCTGGGCCCAAAGCCCCCTACTCTGAACACTCCCCTTTGCCAGTGGGTGAGGGACCTTCTGTGCCCCTGAAGGCCACCCCCAGGACAGGAGGCCCTCGAGGACCCTCGGGCACCCACTCTCCGACCTTGCAGACCTTGCTGCTGCTGCTGCTGACCAGAGCTGGTGACCTCAGGGCCCAGCAGGGCCACGGGATCATCCTCTCCAAGGCCCAGCTGGGTTCCATGGTGCAGGCAGCAAAGGGCGGGCTCCTGGTCCTGACGTAGGACGGACCCCCGCTCCTGCGCTCCCGGCCGAGGCGAGGCCCTGCTGCCAGCCATGAGCTTCCTTCTGAGGGGACTGCCTGGACCCCACCCCACAGAAGCCCTGGGGCAAGTCCGTCACAGGTGGGTCCTTGGCCTCTCCCGTTGTCCTTAGTGGCTCTCTTTCTGTAGACACTTAAGTTCCTCAGACTTTTTCTTTAATGGAGATGGACTTCGCGCAGGCTCACAAAAAACTTCCCAACCACTCGCAAATTTATCTTTCCTATATTTTCTCCTAAGATAGCTTTATTTTTAAATTTTACCTTTAATCCATCTGATATTTATTATTTTATTTTGTGAAGTGTACGACCTTATTATTTTTTTTCATAAAGGATGACGGAGTGGTCCGACACCTTTCATGGCCTAGTCTGTACCTTGTAGAAGAGACCAGAAATCTCCCTCGTCAGCGGTTCAGAGCAGGCTGGCACGCAACAGCGCCTTCCATCGGGGAGTAGACAGGACCAACGGGCTCAGCAACTCTGAACCAAAGACGCTGGTACAGAACTTCTGCCGGGTCACGAGCACATCAGGTGGGAAGCCATTCTTGGTCAGGGAGTTGACGTCAACAGAGAGACTCACATTCACCCCCAAATCTAAGAAAAGCCGGCACCTTCTCCTCTTTGATGAATGGATGGCATTTCCAAAAGTGTTCCACTGTGAGTTTTTTTGTTTTTTTTTTTAATCAAATATATACAATTCACACTCCTGTTAGATCCAAAAACTCTACCACTTATCTGCTCATTTTTATATTCATGACCAAAAATTTTTTAAAAAAAATTAAAAAGCACATTGTAAACACTTGTTTGAAGGTTCAGTGAACTTTGCAGAAGAAAAAGAATCTCAACTGAACCCCCAATCATCATGCCAGATCTGGAGTCAGGTGAGCCCCAGGCTCCTCAACGTGGATTCTGAGATGTTACCAGGAAAGTTGTTTTCCCATTCAGCCCAGCCCAAACCACGTGGCAGAAAGTCAGATGAGCGGATTGGCCATGAGAGGCCACACCTGCGCAACGCAACAACTCTCATTCAAAAATGGGCTATTTACGTACACAGGCCTGTCACCCCAGCATCTCTGGAGGCTGAGGCAGGAGGATGGCAAGTTTAAGGCCAGCCTCAGCAACTCAGCAAGACCCTAAGCAACCTAGTGAGACCCTCTCTCAAAATAGAAAGGGGTGGGGATGGGGCTCAGTGGTAGGGCGCCCCTGGGTCCCGCCCTCAGCCCCCAGCTGATGAGAGAGAGAGAACCAGGAGGTTTTGATGGGTAGAGCTGCATCTGCCGGAAGAGTGAAGTCACTGACCGGTTCACACGCCTCCGGCAGGGCCGGCCAGAGAAAGGCCACGGTGCTGCTGACTGCGCACCACATTGCTTCCTCCACACCGTGGAGCAGGGAACAGGGGCCTGGGTCCCCTGCACTGCAGACGGCAGCGGAGCCACAGGGCGCAGAAGACGGGGATGTGAAAGGGCCGTCTGCATCGGGAACTGCAGAGGGAGCAGAGCCGGCGAGGAAACTAATGGGAATGTCCTCTCCAGGGAGAGCCAAGACCCACAAGGAAAACGCAGCTATTGATCACACTTCAAACCTCAGTTAACAATCCCGAAGGTCGGCCAGTCCCGGGGAGCACCTCCGCACACCCCCCGTGACCCACCCTGTGATGTGCTCTTGGTTTGTCAGACTTTCCCGTCCAGGGCTGGGGATGAGCTCGGTGGTAGAGCGCTTGCCTGGCATGCAGGAGGCCCCACCTTTGACTCCAGTGTCCGCAAAACAAAGTGCCTTTAGGGGGTTTCCTCTCTCTCCTCCTCCTCCTCCTCTTCTCTCACAGCTTCCTCTTTTGTTTCAGTCCTGGGGATCCAGTGGCACATGCTAGTCAGGGACTCTACCACTGAGCTACCCCCGGCCTGTTCTTCTTTTCAGCTTTTTTAGCTTTTCCCCACTATTTTAAAATGTGCTGAACATGGCTTTTTACGTGCGCTGTGCTCAGGTTCCTCTTGAGGGCTTGGCCGGGCGGGCGCTGGGGGTGCGCTCACGTGCAGACCCACAGGGTTCTCCTTTGTTGTATGCACTTTTTGCAACTTACACTCAGAGCGTCACCCAGCCTTGATTTTGTGCCCATGAATAAAAACTCTGGAACTCCCTCAGTGAGTGAAGAGGTGCCTCTGTTCATCTGCATTTGTGAAACAAAGTCTCTCGGATCCAGTTCCTTGGGCCGCTGTGCATAGGTAGTGACCACTGCAGGGGTCCAGGGGGCTGTGGTGGGTTGGAACTCAGGGTGAGGTGCACATGTGCTTGCAACCACCTGCCCCTGAGCCGCTCCCCAGCCTCCAGTTCTCTTATCCCCAGCCACACTGTCCTGTGCCTTCCTGAGCTGAGGTCCCCAGGTGGGAGCTGGGGGTGTGGCTCAGTGGTGGAGCTCTTGCCTGGCATTTGTAAGGCTGTGGGTGCCACCCCCAGGTTGGGGCGGCAGGGGGCCAAGGGACACAAATTAAACACAAACACAGCAGCTTCCTTCCTCTGGTCTGATGACCCCCCCACTTTCCCTCCCCCTCATCATTCCCTCTTTTAGCCTGAAACATTGGTCTCCACTGCTCCGGCCCCAGGAGTCCCGTGTGTGAGCTTAGAATTCCCACCATAGGAGCAATATGTGTTCATCACAGAAATTTCAGGAAATCCAGACAAGTACCAGAAGGAAACAAAAATCCACTTTATCCCACCTCTCAGTGATGCCACTTCAGATTTTTATTCTTTCTTTCTCTGAACACCTACACGGATGTTCTTACAAAACTGGGAGCATGCTGTTCTGTTTTCCTTACACACCTTTTAAAATCTAACACCGCACATGAACAATTTTATTTTATTCATTTATTTATTACCCACCTAGACACATCCTTAACCCTTTTTGAATTTTTTTTTTTTTTATTTAGACATACGGTCTCACTAAGTGGCTTAGCACCTCACTAAGCTGCTGAGGCTGGCCTTGAACTTGCAATCCTCCTGCCTCAGCCTCCCGAGCTGCACACAGGACCCTGCAACACATGAAGAATCTTAACAGCACGGCGTTTGAAAGATCTCAAACCTGGGTTCTAAGGATGGTGGAGCTCCCTCTTATAGGCACACCTGGCTGTACCCAGTCACCACCCACAATAGACACCGAGCTGCGTCTGATTCACTTACAAGCTCCACAGCAACGCACTGAGTAACTGGCATCTCCGATGTCGTTCTTACTCCTGGAAGGACTGGAATTCCTAACAAGAGGATGTGGGGGTGGGGGGCTGGGGCTATAGCTCAGTGGTAGAGTGCCTGCCTTGGCTATGTGAGGCACTGGGTTCCATCCTGAGCACCACATTAAAAAGAGAAAAAAAAGAGGACATGTGGTCTTGAGGATCAGAATTGCACTGGCAAATGACCCTCCAGAAACACTGAAGATGTCTCCCCTCCCACCCAGGGCACCGCAGCACCCACCACCCTCTATGCTCGCCCAACCATACCAGGGCCTTTTTATGGAGCGGGGTGGGTAGCAGGAATTGAACTCAGGGGCACTTAACCACTGAGCAACACCCCCAGCCTTTTTTATGTTTTATTTTGAGACAGGGCCTCAGAAATTGTTCAGGGCCTTGCTAAATCGCTGAGGCTGGACTTGAATTTTCGATCCTCCTGCCTTAGCCTCCTGAGCCACTGGCATTATAGGCGTATACCACTGCACCCACCTTACCAGGATCTTTTAAGCCGATTTGGAATTTCACTGAGAAGGACTTAAAATCACAAATACACTGTCCTGGGGTGAATGACTCTAACGATGTTTGACTACAAACCACACGTCTTTATTGGTCTTTACTACTCAGCTCTGTGCCAAGCCGGGAATGCGGAGAGGTGTCCTGGGGATTCGTGCCCCATAGGCTCGTGTTAAACAAGGAGGATCAAAGGACAACAGACCAGAGTGCAGGGCTGACCTACTGCCACAAACGGCCAGACTGGGATCACGTGTGCTGACGTTCGTGCCTTTAAAGAAAAAAAAAAAACAGAAAGTGTAAGGTGCAATATGTTTTAACTATTTTGCTCTATTTAAGCCATTCATTTAAAAAAAAATACATTCCTACTTTGGAATGATTCTCATAAGAAAAAAAGTTAAGGAGTTTCAGCTTTGCCAGCTCAAAATTCCCCAAAGAAGACAAATTCCAAGCAATATAAATAGCATATCCAGTGACCTGGACACAACAAACATTAAAAATAAATAAGTAAAGACGGGTTAAAAAATAAGGTGCCTAGGGCCTTGTGCTTCTGCTCAGGGGTGGGGTTTGGTGTGGGGTCCTGAGCGTTGAACCCGGGACCTGGGGCACGTGGGCAGCCCTGCCACCACAGAGCTGCACCCAGCCCTGGGGATTCTGTCACCCTCTGCTGACAGCTGGAGAAATTGGTATTGGAGCTTCGTGTCGTGAAACTTAATAATTTTTACCACTAAAATACAACAAAACCGTCATAATAGTGGTGTTTGGAGCGTGATCTCAGATTTCTTCTTTTATCTCTTAACCTATTTGAAATTGAGGCACGATCGACAGAGTGACCTGTAGGAGCCTGCGTGTTCCCGTGGGTGGGTTTCGACCAGTCGACGGACCTGAGTGGTGCCAACTGCTGGCAGGAGGAGGAACACTTCCGGCCGAGGGCTGCCGCGGGCCCTGGGCGTTGGCCGAGGAGCTGGGGGTCCGAGGTGCTGCTGCGTCTGGCTCCTTGCTGTGGAGGACGCGGAGCTGATGCCTCCTTGGGACAGGCCTGGGCCTCCTGCTCACAGCCGGGGGCACAGGGCTCCCTACGGCACAGACCACCGCCTGGGTGTGTGCTCCCGCTGCCAGGCATTTGGGTGCTTTCAAACTGGGGACGATGCCGGGACGCTCCTGAGAACACTCCTGAACAAACCTCTTCATAGCCACGTGCTCCTTCTCCCGGGAGGGACTTGGGGCTCCTGGTGC